TAGAACTTAGCTCACTGTTTTGCACCTAAAAGACACTCAGTGAATGCTTGCAGATAACAGTGCATCTCTTAGTCATCTAATGCTGCTACAACAGAAGTACCACAAGTGGATGGCTTTAACAAAGAGAAGTTTATTCTCTCACAGTCTAGTAGGCTAGAAGTCCAAACTCAGGGCGTCAGCTCCAGGGCAAGGCTTTCTCTGTTGGCTCTGGAGGAAGGTCCTTGTCATCAATCTTCCCCTGGTCTAGGAACTTCTCCGCACAAGAACCCCGGGTCCAAAGGATGTGCTCTGCTCCAGGCACTGCTTTCTTGGTAGTATGAAGTCCCTCTGTCTCTCTGCTCACTTCTCTTTTATATCTCGAAAGAGATTGGCTCAAGACACAATCCAATCTTGTAGGTTGAGTCCTGTCCAATTAACATAACTGCCGTCTATCCCACCTCATTAACATCATAGAGGTAGGATTTACAACACATAGGAAGATCACATCAGATGACAAAATGGTGGACAGTCACACAATACTGGGAATCATGGCCTAGCCAAATTGATACACATATTTTTGGGGGACACAATTCAGTTCATGACAGTGCCCAAGGAATCACAGTTTAAGCAAAGACTGGAACCCTGGATTCTAATTCTCTACTATCTACCTATCCTTGAAGCTGCACTGACGCCTTCAAGGTCTGACAACCAGCACACCCACCAAGTGGGAGCTTAGAGTCATGTGTTTTAGTCTCATCTCAGATTTTCTATATAAGAGATTGCTGTTGTTGTTGTTAGCTGTTGTCAGGTTGGCCCCCAACTCATAGCAACCCCATGCACAGTGGAATGAAACACTAGCCAGTCCTGTGCCACCCCCATAATGGGTTGAGTATTGAACCGTTGCGATCCATAGGATTTTCACTGAATGATTTTTGGAAGTAGATTACCAGGCCTTTCTTCCTAGTCTGACTTGGTCTGGAAGCTCTGCTGAAACCTGTTCAGCAGCATAGCAACACGCAAGCCTCCACTGACAGGCAGGTGGTGGCCGCACATGAGGTACGCTGGCTGGGAATTGAACCCAACTCTCCCACATGGAAAGCAAAAATTCTACCACTGAATTACTAATACTTCCATATCAGATATCACACGACCCTAAAGCAGTAATTGCTGACCCTAGTTTTACACAATGTATACAATTCTGGGGGCTCTAAAGAGACCTCAGCAGGTATCAATATATTTTAAACCTTTGTATCGAAAGTCATTTAAATTCTTTCTGAATCGTTTTGCATTGTTTTCTATGGACACTTTGCAGAAGTTTTTTTGTGTGTGTGTGCTTTAAGTGAAAATTTACAGTTCAAGTTAGTTTCTCATACAAAAATTTATACACACATTGTTATGTGACCGTTAGTTGCTCTCCCTATAATGTGACAGCACACTCTTCCTTTCCACCTCAGATTTCCCGTGTCCATTCAACCAGCTCCTGACCCTCTCTGCCTTCTCATCTCGCCTCTGGATAGGAGCTGCCCATTTAGTCTCATATATCTACTTGAGCTAAGAAGCACTCTCTTCACGATTGTCCTTTTATGTCTTATAGTCCAGTCTAATCCAGAGTTGGTGTCGGGAATGGTTTCAGTTCTGGGCTAACAGAGAGTCTGGGGGGCATGTCTTCCAGGGTCCCTCCAGTCCTAGTCAGACCGTTAACTCTGGTCTTTTTATGTGAATTTGAGTTCTGCACCCTACTTTTCTCCTGCTCCGTCAGGGACTCTCTGTTGTGTTCCCTGTCAGGGAAGTCATCGGTGGTAGCCAGGCACCATCTAGTTCTTCTGGTCTCGGGCTAATGGAGTTTCTGGTTTACATGGCCCTTTCACTTTGTGGAATTTTTGAAAGGTAAGGTGGGTCATCACAAGGTCAAAGCCAGGATGTCACAGCTCCCGGAAAAGTTAGAAAATCATTGCCCTAACCTCAGCAGCCTCTCCCCCAGGGCTGAGACTAATGAACGTGCCAGCAGCCCCAGCTTGGGCAAAGGCAAAACGGGGCCTAGACTTGGAATGGCATTTTTTTTCCGCTTCTCTAACCAGCTTGCAAACTGTCATCTGTTGAACCAAAGTGAGATTTTACTTGGCAAGCAGACAAAGAGAATTTCCCCTAAAATACCCTGACAGCCTGGCTCCCAGGATGCCTCTTGAATCCACCCCAGGATTCTGGGCTCCTGTTCCAGGACTTGTAGTAGGACTTGACCCCCCAGAGGCCGTGAAGTCCCCAGGGAGAACACTGTTTGCACTGCCTGAGACACAGCCTCTTCTCTCCTTTCTGCCCTAGCAACAGCCATCCACATGCAGCTCTTGGAAGCTGTACAATACAGCTAATTGTTTGCATTGGACAGTAGTGTGTTTAGAGCTTATGCATCTAAACCGACAATTATTTTCTGCTATTTGCTAGTAGCACTGCCTGCCCAGTGACTTTGGCAGATGGAGAAAGGAGCTAATCCGTAGGTTATAAGCAGAAGGGCTATTGATGAAATGTCACCATCTGTTGGTGTCATTAAAATGATATGAGTCATAGAGTTGCTTTTGTTTTTTCTCAGAAAGAAAAAAAAAAGGTTAGCTTAGAGTTTAGAGAGACGTTGCTTGATTGTGGATGGCAGTGGGGACGAGGGTAGAGGGGACGAGTTTCTGGATGGGTGGGTGGGCTTTTTGAGCTCATCAGATCAGCATGATGGGTCTTCAGGGAAGTGGATCAGCTCCTGGAGTAACACTGCCTGCCTCGTATGAGACAGGGTGCTTAACAGAGCTGAATCATGCCTCTTCTCTCCCACGGTCCTCCCCATTTCTGCGGCATCTGCAGGTTGGGTTAAGGAAGTCATTCATTTGGGTTAAACAAAAAAGATTTTGTCTGGGAGGGAACAGTAAAAATGCATGTCTCCTTAATCTTCATTGGCCCCACAATGCTGAGATTACTCACATCACCAGTGGATTCCTTGGGAGGCTGGCAAGGCCAACAGGGGCTGTTATCCTCTACATCTGGAACATCTCCCCTGAGGAGGTGGAGGTGGCTCCCAAGAGAAGCCCAAGCGTCTGTCGGGGCTGGGCCCCTCAGGATGGAGGAAAGAAAGCAGTGGATGGACCCACATGGATTACATAGCAAAGGAGTGAGGAGTGGGAGCGGTGGATTTAATGAGGATACAAGCAACCAAAATAAACCATGCCAACTTCCTAATTTTGCCTATTACCTAATCCCCTAGGTCTCTAGGTGTTGCAAATGGTTTGCGCTCAATTTCCAACTTAAAGGTTGGTGGTTCAAACCCACTCAGCAGTACCATGGAGGAAAAGGCCTGGCGATTTGCTTTCGTGAAGATTACAGCCAAGAAAACCCTATGGAGTAGTTCCAGTCTGTAACACGTGGGGTCTCCATAAGTCGGAATCAACTGGAGGGCAAGAGACAACAACAACCGAATCCCCTAATTCCCTCGTGTTTGCTCCTTATAAAGTCTTTTACCCACTGCCAAGCACCTACGCCCAAAGAGGAAGAACCTGTTATTACCAACCTCTTCCAGCATGGCTTATACTCCTTTTTTATTATTTTTCATTTTAACTTCTAATAGATTGCTTGTTCTTGTTGTTATGTGCAGTCAAGTCAATTCTGACTCACAGTGACCCTACACAACAGAGTAGAACTGCTCCATGGGGTTTCCCAGGCTGAAATCTTTAAGGGAGCAGATAGCCAGGTCTTTTCTCCCATAGGCCGCTGGTGGTTTGGAACCACCAACCTTTAGCAGCCCAGCGCTTAACCAGTGCGCCACCAGGGCTCCTTCCCTGACCTCTGCTGAGCTCTTTTCCCCTCTTCCACCAAGCCTGAGCCTGCCCCCTTTGCCACCTCCTGCGGGGGAAAGAGGAGCTTACCAGGGAGTCAGCGCTGTTGCTGGAAATAGTGCGAGATGGTGGAAGCGTGAGCCACAGGGGGCAGGAGCTTCCTGAAGCCTGTGCGAGTTATTTATATGGTCTTAAAAGGATGCATCCGTGGAAAAGTTCCTGTTGTTATTTTTAGATCTGATGCTTGGCCCTGCTGCTGCACTTTCATTTTTAAACAAGCAGCAGAGGGGGTGACTGATGCTGTCTGCAGGGCTGTTTTGGAGACTCAGAGGGCCCATCTGACAGGCTAATGGTCACCCTGCCGGGCCCAGATCCGCCTTCTGTCTCTGCCAGCTTTGGAACTGCAGAAGCTGCTGACTTCAGCGGCCTGCGAGAAAACCACCCATCATTTGCTGCCAAGTTGGAAATGCTCAAATTTATACCCTGGCTCCAGGGCCCTGTGGGGTTGAAACTTGAAACCCACAGGCTCAGTGTCTTGCTTACTTTCTTCCAGTTCTGGGAGCATCAAGGCATATGTTTGCATGAGCCTTTGGCTGCAAGCAAAATGGTTTAGAATTGGACGAGGTGATTAAGCAGGTTAGAAACTCAAAACCACACAATAATCCTCCAGAGGAACTATTCCAGGGCCAGTGGGAGGGAGTTGAGCTGTCTTCTTGTTGATCTTGAATTGTTTCTGTGGGTACTTTCATTTGTCCCCTCAAAATCAGGGCTCTCCTTTCCCTGGATTCTGGAATCCTTGTGGCTTTGTCCTTAGGGAGAAGGGAGGAGCAGGAAGTGGTGGTCATTGGGGTCATTTGCTCCGCAGATAAAATTCTCATAAAAAGTTCATGATTTGTGGCTTAGCCCACTCCAGTTGAGCAACCAGGTGATGGAAGTGAGATGTTCAAGAGTGTTCAAAAAGAGAAAAGAAAGTTCTTGATTCTCACGGTCAGGCAATGTATTGCTTGTCCCTGGGACTCAGACGATGGCAGATGGGGTTCTTTTACAAACCTAAAAAATATATGTAGAAGTGGCTGAGAGACTCAAGAAACTTCTTATGAAGTCCATAGCTTCCCTCTTTTGCGTTGTAGACTTGTTATATAAAATGCACATGATCCTCTTTTTTTGTTTTGTTTGTTTTTTATCTCCCTTTTTCTGCAACAGACCACAGAGACAGGGGAAGAGGAGGAGGACCAGCCCCTGAGCCTGGCTTGGCCACCCAATGCCCGCAAGCAAGTCACGTTCCTGATTGTTCTCCCCATAGTGTTTCCTCTCTGGGTTACCTTACCTGATGTTCGCAAACCTGTGAGTAAAGCATTTTTGAAATAGCTTCGTTGTAAAAAGTATGGTGCATAACAGTATGCATAGTCTGCTTCTATTTGTGCTAACAGGAAAAGGGAGGTGAACATATATAATGTGGGTGCTTGTATAGTATGTGCACGAAATTTCTCTGGACAGATACACAGTGATAGTGATTATTCTGGTGATCTCATGCTCTAGAACCAACCACCCCAAAACTTAGTCATATAAAGCAACCACCATTTTATTCTGCTTATGGATTCTGTGGATCAGGAATTTGGACAGGAAATAGTGAGAATGACTTGTCTGTGCTTCATGATGTCTGGGGCCTCAGCTGAGAAGACTTGAATGGCTGGAGATGATTCAGATGGTTAGGGGCTGGAATCATCTGGAGGGTTCTTCACTCAGGTTTCTGACACCTGGGCAGGGATGATTCAAAGGCTGGGCTTAGCTGGGACTGTCAACTGGAGAGCCTAAATGTGGCCTGTCCATGTGGTTTGGGCTTCCTCCCAGCATGATGGTCAGGATAGTCAGATACCTTACATACAAGGCCAAGGTTCCAAAAGTGAGTGTTCCAGACCTAATCTCAGAAGTCTCATAGAGTCACTTCTGCCCTACTCTACTGGCCAAAGCAGTCATAAATCTGTGTTGATTCAAAGGGAAGAGACAAAAAGTTCACCTAATAGATGTTAGTGTCATAGAGCGTATGACACTCTTGATGAGAGGAGTGTCAAAGAATTTGCAACCATGTTTTAAAACCACCATAGTGATTGTCTCTGAAAAGGGGAATGGAAAGAGGCAGGAGGGCGCAACTCATTTTGTGGCAATGTACATAGATTATTCATTCAATTCAAAAAGTAATTTGAAGAAGTGGGTTTGTGTAGTGTAAATTCCTTACATGTCTGATCTTCTCCCTCCTGTACTATTAATCATTGTTATAATCAATATGATTATCTGCCATTATTATGTACTGAGTGCTATGAATACAATACCATCCTATGAACAGAAAATTACAATCTGAATTTGGATCAAATCAAGAGAACGTCCCCTCCGGGTGTTGTTAAACAGAATTCTAGGACCATTGCCTTAGGAGGTGAAAGAACTAATGAAAAAGGAGAACCAGCTCTACTTTTTATTATGGGAGTATACATACATATACATTCAACAAAAGTGTGTACTTACTACGAATCAGACTCTGCCCCAAGTATTTCCAGTAAACTATATGTAGAATCTCAGCAAACATCTAAGGTAGAAATTATTATTGGCATAGGTACAAAAAAACTTAGGTACAACAAAGTTAACGAACTCACACTTGGTCATTTCTCAGGGGATAGAGTTGAGATTCAAACCCAGGTCTGTGACTGCACAGCTTGGGTTCTTCCTCGTATTCTAAGCTGCCAGAAGGTAGAAATCCAAAAACTCATTTCTAAAAGCATTTGGAATACAATAGTGTGGTAACATTCAGCATAATTTAGCATAAGCTTTTACAAGCCCCCGATAATCCCAGTTTCCTCAGTTGAAAAAGAATTGAATAAAAATCTGTCCCATTAGCCTGGCCTATAAATAATCCAGTCTGGTGGAGAGCAGTGTCTTGTCAAGTGCAGGCCGGGAAAGGGCCGCCTCATTTAAGAACCTCAGCATTAGAGGTTTCTAGGTAAAAGATATGGAGTCCTGGTGGCACAGTGGTTAAAGTTAGGCTGCTAACCAAAAGGTTGGCAGTTGGAACCCACCAGCCACTCCACAGAAGAAAGACGTGGCAGTCTGCTTCTGTAAAGATTTACAGCCTTGGAAACCCTATGGGGTCGCTATGAGTCGAAATCAACTCAACAGCAGTAGGTTTTGTTTTTGTTAGGTAAAGGAAGCATGCAACAGGTGGGCCTCATGTAAAGCAATATCTAAGTTTCTCTATTCAAGATGCAACTGCAGAGCCCCTGCTGTGTGCAAAGGCCTGGCTTCCAGAAAACCTACAACCACATTACTGGAATGTGCTCGATTTTTTTCTTGGCTTTTCTGAGACGTTCTCTTTCTCTCTCTCCATTGCTTTGTTATTTAGCCCGATATTTTTGCTCAGCCCTAGGGATGAAAATCAGGGAGACAGATGTGGTTTTCTAAATCCCACTGAAGGCCTAGCGTGGTGTGGCCCAGAGTAGATGAGGGTTGATTGACTAATACGAGGAGGTCAGCACACAATCACTGAAGGTGATCAGAAAAATGTGCAGGAACGGGAGGAAGAGGCCAGTAACTCAAAGCCCTGGGCTATCAGAGTTGGGTGGGACTCACCGCAAGGGCTGGCAGAGTGCTCATTCTCTCAGGGATCTGAGCTGAAAGGTCAAGGGTGTTGTTAGGGAAGATCAAAGGTTCCCAACCAGCAGCTCCTGGAAGAGAATTCACCGTGGCAGAAGTCAACCAGGACATGACAGCTACTCTGGCTGATGCTTCTATCCTGAGGGACACTAAGCAGGACAATGGAGCTGTTCATGATGCTCTCCTCTGCAATAACACTGCCTTGTCACCCACTATACAGGACACCCTTAAGAGCCAGCCCCTGCAGCCTGGGCTAGGGTAGCCAGTGGGGCTTTCCTTCACTGCTCTCCCAAGCACCATCCCTGGATGGACTGGATGTTTTTGTCTGTCTTATCCTGAGTATTCTGTGTATTGTTCCAAGCAGAAATTAGATTCCCAGATGGAGCATTTGGTTGCTTTTCAAATTCCTCAGCAAATATTTAGTGAGCACCTATTATGTGCCAGGCATTGCGCTAAGGCCCTAAAAGAGATTTAAAGACACAGAATTCACCATTTCTATCTTTAAGTAGTTCTAAATTTAGTAGAGGAAATACAACATGCCCACATATAACTACAGAGCAAGATCAAACAGCTATATTAGTGAGAAGAGTTAAATTCGAATCTGAGTCTTCTGATTCCAGAGCATTTTCATTCTACTATGGTAACTATTATAGTTCTTCCCCCACAACTCATGAGCTGTGTAACCTGGGGAAAGTCTCTTCTCAACTCTGGACCTCATTTTTCATCCTCTGCAAAATAAAGGGGTTGGAAGATCTCTAAATCCCTTGTCAGCAGTGACATTCTGTGACTAAGGAAAGCATAAAGAGATAACCATCCAGACAACCTTGCAAATGTAAGATGACCATACATCCCAGTTTGCTCAGGATAGTACCAGTTTACTGTAAAAGCATTCTGGTTGAGATGATAAATTATTGATCATCTTTTGCATATGCAAAATGTCAAATGAAAGAGACCATGCCAGATGATAAAAAAGCCGATAAGTGGCTTCTTGATCATGTTTAGCACAGAACAGTTTCATTAAGTTTGATCTTGTATCACTTAGATTTTTCTGTTAACATACCACCCCAAAATTTAGTGGCTTAAAACAAAAGGCATTTTTTAGGCCATAATTCAGTGAATCAGCAATTTGGGTGGGGCTCAGCAGGACAGTTCTTCTGCTGGACTCAGTAAGGCTCACTCATATGGCTGGGGGCTGGTTAGTCTAGGGGTATCTCAGCTGGAAAAGCTTGTCTTTGCTCCACGTGGTCTCTTATCCTTAAGCAGATTGTTGTTGTTAGTTACTGATTCCAACTCATGGCAACCTTACATATAACAGAACAAAACACTGCCCAGTCCTGAGCCATCTTCCTGATCATTAGTGTGTTTGAGTCCATTGTTGCGGCCATTTTAAGCAGACTAAACCTAAACGAAACCTATTGCCATCAAGTCAATTCTGATTTATAGCAACCCTACAGTACAGAGTAGAACTATCCCATAGGGCCTCCAAGGTTGTAATCTTTACAGAAGCAGACTGCCACATCTTTCTCCTGCCAAATAGCTGGGATCAAACCGATAACCTTCCAGTTAGCAGCCAAGTGCTTTAGCCACTGTGCTACCAGGGCTCCTAGCTTGGGTTTATTCACATAGTGGCAAATAAGCAGCAATAATGGAAGCTACAAAGTCCTCTTGACGTCTAGCTTGGAATTTGCTGTCACTTCTACCACCTTCTATTGGTCAAAGCAAGTCATAAGGCCAGTTAGATTAAAAGGGTGGGGAAATAGACCTCACCTCTTGATGGGAGGAGCCCTGGTGGTGCAGTGGTTAAGAGTTTGGCTGTTTACAACTAGATGGTGCCCGGCTACCACCACCAACTGCTCTGACAGGGATCACAATAGCGCGACCTGGACAGAGCTTGAGAAAAATGTAGAACAAAATTCTAGCTCACCAAAAAAAAAAAAAAAGACCAGACTTACTTGTCTGATAGACACTGGAGGAACCCCGAGAGTATGGCCCCAGACTCCCTTTTAACTCAGTACTTAAGTCACTCCTGGGGGTTTACCCTTCAGCCAAAGATTAGACAGGCCCATAAAACAAAACAAGACTAAATGGGCACACCAGCCCAGGGGCAAGGACGAGACGGCAGGAGGAGACAGGAAAGCTAGTAATGGGGAACCCAAGGTCAAGAAGGGGAGAGTGTTGACATGTCATGGGGTGGCAACCAATGTCACAAAGCAATATGTGTATTCATTGTTTAATGAGAAACTAATTCGCTGTGTAAACCCTTATCTAAAACACAATTAAAAATTAAAATTTTAAAAAAAAAAAAGGAGTTTTGCTGCTAACCAAAAAAGGTCAGCAGTTTGAATCTACCAGCTGCTCCTTGGAAACCCTATGGGGCAGTTTTACTCTGTCCTATTCGGTCAGTATAAGTTGGAATCGACTCGGCAACAACAGGTTAGCTTTTTGAGGTTTTTTTTGTTTATTTGTTTTCTTGATGGGAGGCATTGAAAAGTATTGTGGCCATTTTGCAATCTATCACAGACCTAATGTATTGCCACAAATGCTTCTTGAAAAAAATAACCAGGAAGAGGGGAGAGAGAGGAGAGAATTATTAATTAATAGATATTTGCTATGCCTTGGGGCTTAGCAGGCTCCCTCTTCAGTAGATTTTGAATTACCCATGGAGATGAGCATCCCAAACCTTGATAATAATTACAAGGAAA